ACGAGAAGAATTTGAGAATACTTTTCATACTATGTACAACTTATTAAAATTATTAAAACAGGAAAAAAGACATTTTTGTCCGACATTTAAACTTCAAAAAGACATTTACGTTTTTTATAATCAAGTTGGACAATTTTTATTTTCCATGAAAGTCATAATCAAGTTAGACAATTTTTATTTTCCATAAAAGTCATAATCAAGTTAGACAATTTTTATCTTCCGTAAAAGTCCTCGGTCGATTGATTAGTATTCACATACTTTGTTCGTTCTTGGCGTGTACATCGCCGTGCGCTACCTAAATTCTCGTTCGCAGCTAGTTTGACGGAAGGTCGTTACAAATGAAATAACTTGACCGATGTTTCACCCGATAAGTGAGATTTAACGTTCAACGCCTGTGGAACAATAAAAATCGCCGGCGGAATTCGCCGAATGTATCGTTTTAACAGTATAATGGCCCGTGGGACAGTATGAAATTTACATGGGCCGAGGTCTTGCACACTGTACCACGAACTTTTAATTGTGCGGAAAGTATTCGATTAATAGGACGAGCCTGCCGGTTTGATGGCAGACGATTGCGTGTATCGATCCCCGTGAGTTGTTTCGTTATTTTTAAACCTCAAACAACGCTTTTCCTCTCTCGCCGGACAATTCTCTGCCTTTTTTTTTCTCGTTCTGTTTTATTTTTTCGTTCGTTAGGTGCGAATTAATAATCTCGTATATGATTTTTATTTTTTGCGTACCGCAAGGTAAAATCGGAATAATGAGATGGCCTTGCTAGATCCGGCAAATAATTTTTTTTTAACTGATCTAATTAAGACGCATAGCAACGGTTTTATTGGTCGTGTCCATGACGTATGAGATTATTAATTTCGGAAAGTGTAACTCTCATCGATTGGCATTTTATGTGATTACTTAGAGTGGTAACTTTTTTTGAAGCACGCATCATAATTATACTATTAACCAAATTTGTTCTGTTTATATTATTAATATTGTATATCATAATTGCACTATTAAAAAAGTGTATCATTACACTATTAATACTTTAATCGTCGCGACATCCACATGTGGGTAACAGAGTTATTTAAAATTTAATTTAAGAATGTTGGAAAAGTGATGTATGTCATATAAATTTTCAGTACAATTCTTATATTTTACTGTATAAAATACTTTAATTTTATGAAACTTTCGAAATCTTTGCCGCGGTCGTTAAAGTATTAAGACCATTTGAAAAAGCATATAACATTTTTAAAACTGGACGAAATTACTTGAACTTCTGTTAGACAATGACTAAAATACCTTTTTATCCGAGGCTGTAATGAAAGTTTAAAAAAATGTGTCGATCAACGCAGAATCAAGCTACAAGCGTTGAAAGGTTTGAAAAGCTGCGGATTTCTGACAGCTGTTGGTCGAAAGTGTCAAAACTCGTGGCAAAACTGCGATTTTCACGATCTTTAATTGCTTGCAGCTCATATTACGGTTATCCGATTTCGATGAAATTTTCACCATTCACACAAGTTACCGAGATCTACAAAAAGCAGTTTTTTCAATTTTCGTTATAGGCTCAGATGAAAATTTGATTTTACCTTTGATGATTTTGCATCATTTACCTTTGATAAATCGCAAGAAAAGGAAGTTAAGTTGCAATTAAGTTCTTGTTTTAATAATTTTAGCAAGTTGTAAGTGTCGAGTTATTTTTATTGAATTTGTATAATCGAACAATCGTATGATATGAGAGAAGAGAGAGTATTCAACGATCGACTGGTGCATGAGATATGAATGAAAATTATTATCAACGATAAGTAACATACTGGTGATATCAAATTCCTATTATATTCTGATATTTTTTCAATTTTGTATTTGTCCTATTCGTTTTTGTCATAAATGCATAGAATTGACAGTCTAATGGTGATCCAAGGTTTTCTCATGCTTGCATTAAAATTAACCAATGCATTTCCGTGGTCCAGAAAAACTAAAAAGCTATTTTATCTATAAGAGTCTTGTTATCATCAGAAACAACATAAATATCCGTTAATTTATTAATTTTCAAGTATCGAATTTTGTTCAGTTTTAATACTTGTATCTGTATTTACAAAAGGCGCGCCTATATTTTATAGATTTTTCAATAACAAATTGAACACATGACGTAAGCGCATGTCTAAAAAGTTCGTTTCTTTGTACAACTGTAATGTTGAAATTGAATAAAATTCGTCCTTCGTGAACGGTTTCACTAAATCTCAAACAATCCAGATTTTACAAAACAGATTTTACACCAATTTCCTAGGCTCCACGAAAAATTTATGTCCATGCAGAACTGTCCGAGTTTCCACAACTGCAAGTAACAAGTACGTCTACGCAAGGCGTTTTGTAAACAGCTGTTTCACGCTTGCTTCAAGACAGATGATTGCACGTCAGACTAATTCAGTTTACAATTTCTATCGCATAACAGAGAATATATGCATTCAGGGCTTTAGGTTCCACACCATGTCTCTAAACATATGTGCTCGGCTTGACGCGCGTATGTGTATATAACATATATAGTACACGTTCTCATATGTCCGTATAATATATATACATATATACATATACGTATATATGTACAAGAGATTCATAGTATTCTTGCGTACATGACACGTTTATGCCAGAGTAACCCGTAAGGAACTGCACAAATTGGAGAAGATTTGGAGTAACGATTTTTGTGTATAAAATATGAAGGCCGATATGTCTGTCATACACGATGATCTTACGGAATTTATTAGTAGCACAGTATCAACGAAACTGTGAAACTGGCAAACACTTATTTAATAAGAAATTGCGAGAACATCATATATGCTGCAGCTACTATTTCTGCTAGACAGTTATCCTTGCTTGATTTATCTCCTTCTTTTCTGACATACATTGCATTCACCGTCACTCCTTTTTTCTATCTTTCGGTTCCCTTTTGTAGTAGTAATAACGATGATAATAATAATAATTCTTTATTTTTGGCCTCATAGTCAAGAAGAACTTTGTTTTACAAACCTAGACGAATCCAATGACTTGCCAATAGCCCTTTTGTAGTAGTAATAACGATGATAATAATAATAATTCTTTATTTTTGGCCTCATAGTCAAGAAGAACTTTGTTTTACAAACCTAGACGAATCCAATGACCTGCCAATAGCCCTTTTGTAGTAGTAATAACGATGATAATAATAATAATTCTTTATTTTTGGCCTTATAGTCAAGAAGAAGAACTTTGTTTTACAAACCTAGACGAATCCAATGACCTGCCAATAGCCCTTTTGTAGTAGTAATAACGATGATAATAAAAATAATTCTTTTTATTTTTGGCCTCATAGTCAAGAAGAAGAACTTTGTTTCACAAACCTAGACGAATCCAATGACCTGCCAATAGCCCTTTTGTAGTAGTAATAACGATGATAATAATAATAATTCTTTATTTTTGGCCTCATAGTCAAGAAGAACTTTGTTTCACAAACCTAGACGAATCCAATGACCTGCCAATAGCCCTTTTGTAGTAGTAATAACGATGATAATAATAATAATTCTTTATTTTTGGCCTCATAGTCAAGAAGAAGAACTTTGTTTTACAATCCTAGACGAATCCAATGACCTGCCAATAGTTTACGCCATTCATCCAGTTCGCAAATATTTTAACAATTGAGTTTATTTCAAGTTAGAAAATTCCAAGATTGCAGCAAAGTGAATGTTGACAATCCGATGGTGTACCCGTTGTATGGAACACCGTGTCCTATGCACTGTGCCTGCACTGTTTTGACGTTTGTAACGAAGTCCGTGTGTAGTATTACCGAGGCGTCGTACATAGAGACACGGTCGTGTGTAAAATTCACGCATGCAAATCTCCGGACGCGCGAGCGTAAAAGCGTCTTATTAGCGTGATTAATCCTGCTACGTGTTTCGTGTCCACGAGATCGGTTCTCGGCGCGTATAAATTTTCGATCACGGACTGAGGGAATCCATAATCCGCGGCCACGAGAAAAGATAGAAAGTGCAATGAACTGAACATAGTCTCTAGAATTACTTCATTAATCATTCCCGCTTTTCCTCGCACTTTCTTCGGGTAGTCTTCGAAATCTTTGAACAATCGATCGTCTATCAGCGAATTACAGGATAAATGAAAGACGATTACGTAGAGGGTGTCCCAAGAATGTCTCGCAATCCGAAAGTGGTGGGTTCTTGAGGTCATTTGAAGTAACTTTTTCCTTTGCGAAAATCTAACCCGCGGCTTTGTTTACGAGTTATTAATGAAAAACAGTGACCTCGCTCGGCTGGCGCGAAATGGCTGAGCCAACGAGCGGTCGAAAGCCAGTTAGAGGAAAAAGTTACCTCGAATGACCTTAGGAACCCCTAATTTTGGATTGCGAGACAGTTTTGGGACACTCTGTATACTTGCGTGGCAATAAGCAGAGGTGAGATTGTCGATACCCTTTTTTGATAAATGTGCCGATGATTATGAAAGTGATCGAAGTCGTATATTTTTCGTCTCGAGACGTGTACTTAATACTAGAACTGCGAAAATGCGAAATGGAGGTCAAAACTACTTGTTTGGCATTTCTTATAATCATTACTCATTTTCAGTACATTTTCATCTTTTAAAATTTTGTATGATTTTTTCTAAAACATATAAATAATTAATTATGTAAACCAGTTTCTCATGCCTTGTCTTTCTTTTTGTTGCGCAAATGTAACAAGCTTTTTAAACAAATCAATTGTAGATTGATCATAAATCATAGATGAACCTCTGACGAATAATTATCGGTATTGTCTATTTATTTGTTCATGCTTACGGTTAGGAATTAGGCTTGGTTCAATTTTTCCTTACCAATGCGAAACAATAGACAACGTAATATCGTAGCAATTTATACATTAGTTAAGATGATTAATAAGTAAAACGTAATATCTTTAATTTCAAAAGTAAATATATAACTGAGACGACGAATTCTCGTTTTATCGTTACACTTTTTCAATTTTCTGTTACAGGAATGGAGGCAATCATGTCCGAATTCTTCAATGACACTACGACTGCTTTCTACATCATAATGATCGTTTGGATCGCCGATCAGTACGATGCTATTTGTTGTCACACCGCGATATCGAAACGACACTGGCTGCGGTAAGTGATAATCATGAAACATGTCTAATTTATTTTTAAAAAGTCCGCGAATCTAATTTCACGTAATAATATTTTACCAATAATTTTTCGCAATAATATCTTATCACCGCGATGGCATGAAAGTCAATTTGCAAGTTCCTGGTTTAAACGTTACTGGTTGTTTCCCGAAGGAAACCGCGACGATTACGAGTTCATTCGTAAAAGTCTCCATGGTCTTTAGTCGTTTACTCTCGCGGCCAGAATGAAGGGGACGGATGATCGAAGGAGCATTTAATTAAAGGGGATTAAGCTGTATAACGGATTAAGTAGCGAGTCACTTGTAGTCCTTCGTACACCGGTTGTCGCGTCTTTTTTTCTTTATTCCGGCCTGCTCGTGTCCAGCTAAAACTGAAGCGATCAAAGTATCTGCCGCCGGACGGAATAGCCTTTGTCGGATGATGATAAAACGCCTTGCTTGCCTTGTCGGAGCAACTTTGTCAAAGGATTGCCAAGATTTTTGCGTGTCAAGCCGGCTCCCACGTGTCCCATACGCTACACGCGACAACTTCAATGGCTGGCGTAACAATACCTTTATGCTTTGCATATGCCACCGCTAGAGAATCAAGATCGGCCATTGATGAACTTCAAATAAAAAGTGCAAAAAGATGTGTTAATCTAATTCTAGGTAAAAACCATCCATTGTATTTTATTCTTATGTAGTGTATAAAATAATAAGAACATGGGAAATTCAATTTTTACTTCAAACTAAGATAGAGATACATGTTAGGGTGTCTCGTGATTCCAGCGTACCTGTTAAGGGTTAACTCTTGTTTTGTCCAATTGATGCAGACGATTTTTATTTTGCATAAAGACTCGCGGACTAGTTATGATCCGAGGACAGTAACAAGTGAATTCTATACCATTTGTGTCCTTTTTTTTGCAAATTGCTCATAAAATAAAAGAGAGTAGATGGCGATAGCTGTGTTAGCAACAGGTATGACACTGGCGGTTTAAGAAAACAAATTCTACACTATTCGACATTTTCTTTTCTTTGTTCTAATACGTACACGTGTCGGCGGTAGTTAAGAAACTTTACGTGTCGTTAACATTTGAGTAATATTTGATATTTCAATAAATATACATTTTCTTAAATTAGAAGTTCAATATTATAGCGAAGCATATAACGCGTTGTTCATATTGCAATAGTGTCTAATAAAAAAAAGATAAAGGAAATAAAAATAATTAAAATTAAAATATAGAAAAATAATATTAATACTTTCGTTGACAAAATACAAGTTTTCATCCTATGTTAAGAAGTTCTGCTACGAGCAGGAATATACGAATTTTTATTTACTCCGTGGTGACAGTGACACTTGCATTTCGATTATGTTACAAAAATATCGTGCACAGCATTTATGGGCACGTCAGTGACCCGGTTGCGCGACGGACCTTTGGAGCATTGGGACCCCAATGTAGAAATACTAAACAGGGGCGCACCACGATATTTATAGACCTTGGGCAATTTTATAACCGTCCCGCCTTAGGACCTCTTTTTGTGACAATCCAGTTCACATATAGGGGAGAATCGTGCAGAGCGGTCATTCTACGTTTTTGTACGATAACTTCGGGTATTCTTACGATGAACGAAAAGGTCGTATTTGAACTAATTGTATAATATTCTAAATCGTTTTCTTAACTGCTATTTGCAACTATTATAGAATCATTCATTTCTATACAAATTTGTACGAATAAAAGAATCGCACAGATGACTTCATTAACCCGAGAAAGATAACCTACGTCGCAGAGGCGCCTGCGAAAACTGTTGATTTTTGTTAATTTTTCATAGAGGTCTAGTGATTTAAGTTTAAAATTACTTAAAATATAAAAAAATATAATATAAATGCATTTTATTTTTACAATAATGCCAAACCTTTAAAATGACTAGATTAACTTAAATAAATATCCATTGTTAGTATAAAATTGACGCCTTAGAAAAGCATGCGCCTCTGAAGCGTATGGTT